TGATTATTATTAATAGAGTTATTTTTATGATAACACATCAATATTAGCTGTAGTAATTGCTATTAACAAAAATATTTATCTTGTGACTTGGAAAATTGTTCAGATGGGTAATCACACTATTGTCTTCATCGTCATCTTGTTTCTCTGTCTTCTTCTTCTTCCTCTTCCTCTATTCTTCTTTCTCTCCTCCTCCTCTTCCTCCTCTTCCTCTTCCTCTTCCTCTTCCTCCTTCACCACAGATGGTTGCTCAAGTGCTCAGCTGTCAAGGAGCCAATTAGTACACCAACATGACCTCACCTGATTTTCCATTTTGTTGATGTTTCAGGAAAAATGTGTATTTAAAGTTATTGATAGTGATGTTTTTATTATTACTGACATTATATTATTATTATTTTTGGTGGGAGAAAAATGTTACCAGTAATACTAACAGAATAATGTTTTTGTCCCAAAATAGAGGAAAAGTATAAATAGATGATATAGATAGGACAAATATTGACACCTTGGTGGTTAAGCATCTATGGAGCCATCTATTTGTAAAGACAATAAATGAAAAAAAAAAATCAGTTATGGCATATATTCTTGACATCCTGGAAATCAATATACAGTTGATGACATAAAATTTCAAAGGGTGATTAACAAAAGCTATGCTATGTAAAGAGTGTGACTAGAGGCTAATTTTCAGTTCATTAATGAAGGTAATTTGAAAATGGCAAGATCCTTTTCTTTCTAATAGTATGATGAAATTGTAGATTGATGTAGATCTGGGGAGAAAATCCTAAAAAATTTTCCACTTGAAGCCCCTTTAGTAGGTCAATAGTAACACCATAAAAATTTGTAAAAATTAGAGATTAGGGATAAAAAAAGATTACAGCCCTCTAAGCTGGTACTCCAATTCTCTCGGACAATATTTAAACTTTTGATTTGAAAGGTTGTAGATAGCTCGGAAACATCGCATTAGCAGGTCTGGATAATGGTTTTGCAGCTCCAATCTCAATATTTATCAAGTAACATCCTAAACACTTTTTCACCCA